TTAAAACCAAATATTTTAGAGTTGTGCTGTTTAAAATTTTCTAAAAAAGTGAACCCGATTTAAAATCCTCCCTAGGCCAGGCCTGCTTGCTGGAAAAGCCATGTCTTGAGGGCGCGGCGGAAAGCAAGGAGATCCGGAATCATCCGGATCTCAGGGGGTAGTTCGTTCCAGAGGGCGGGGGCACCCACAGAGAAGGCCCCCCCCCCAGGCTGGATAGTTTATATTAAAACTGCACATTAAACACATATAGCTTAATGTATATGTTTGTGAGCTTTCCTTAGACAAACCAGTCAAATAAAATAACAGAATATTGAAATGAAAATAGTTAGTCCTTTGGTCCAAAGGAGTATTTTCAGGAGAAATAGTCCACAGCTATTTCATTCCAGATGGATAGTGTCTCTCGCCATAAACTAAACTTTAGACTTCACCAAGCCAAATGTCACTGAACTAGTTATTAATAACAAAGATGGGACAAGGCGGTTGGTCATGTATACTTGTTATATTTCTATAATCCTCACTTTTTAATATGAATTTACAGAATTAGAAAATTAGAAAACCAATCCCTTGTTCAGTGCAGAATACACTACAACATTTCTGATCGATAAACATCCAGGCTCTCTTTATGAAAGAGAAATCACCACATAATGTAATGACTTATTTAACAGATTAACAGTTCTTACAGTTATAAAGTATTCCTGATTTCTGGCTTGAACCACCTTCTTTGTAGCTTTAACCCACTAGATCTGGTCTTGCCCTAGGACAGTGGTTCTCAGCCTGCGGTCTGCGGGCCTCTGGAGGTCCCTGATATCGTCACTTGGGGTCTGCAAAGGCTTGAAGAAATGCTATGATTTAAATCTTGAGTTAAGTCTTAGAGGTTCATGGCCATGGTCCGTGGCCACAAAAGATGTTTAAAGGGAGTCTGTGGTGAAGAAATGGCTGAGAACCACTGCCCTAGAATGTTTATTACTTTTTTTTAACCACAATTCAAGTCTGAATGGACTTTAAACTTTATTATTACATACTGTAGTTCCTTGCCTAGCAACAAAAGCCAAGATATCTTGTGTGAATACTTCCTTGCTTTTAAAAATAGTTAAAATGTTTTTGAATTCTCAGAAGCTATTGAAATTTAAATCATACATTTTCATTCCTATTTGTCAAAGCTGCTGTTATCCATATTGTTCTGGGTCAGGATTTCACCTGATAAACTACTCTCTCATTTTCTCTTAATAGATTGATTCCTATTTTGGTGAAGGGCATGAAATATTCAGAAATCGACATCATATTGTTGAAGGTATTATTTTAAACCATCCAAACAATTTAGGAATACTATATTGCTTAGTTTATTATTATTTTTTCTTTTCTGATTTTTTATCACTGTTCCTAGTTCTTTACTAAGCCAAGTTAATTAAAATGATATTCTGTGTTGTATAGTAGCTTCAATACAGCTTCATTGTTTTTTATTGCTGAACATCCTTCCCGGTGTAGTGGAAAAAAACAAAAAAAAAGATAGTAGACACTCATTTCTAGGAAACTGAAAAAGTACATTATCTATTGCAAAAAATGTAATACACGCACATACACATACAGGTCCCTTCATGTCAGTGTTGACTCCTGGACTAGTCTTTGCAGTTTTCTTGGCAAGATTTTTCCAGAAGTGGTTTGCCATTGTCCACTTCCAAGGGCTGAAAAAGAGTGATGTCCAAGGTCACCTAGCTGGCTTTTTATCTAAGGTAGGATTAGAACTCCTGGTCTCCGGTTTCTAGCCTTGTGCCTTAACCATTACACCAAACTGGCATTCTTAATTTATATATCAGGTAACAAAAAAGTGTTATATAGCAATAAGTCAGATAGTATGGATTTTTGCCTCTTAAAGACAGGTTATTATATATTTGTAAATGCAAGGAAAAGGCTAAGCAAATGCATTTATGGAAATGATGCATGACCTTCAACCTGACAGCAGTGATGGGTTGTTATATTCGTACTGTCTGATCCATAGAAGCATTGTCTGAAGCCTCTTGAGAAGCTTGTAGTTCACTTCACTCCAGCAAAGTTTTAAGTCAACAATTCGAAGTATTTTCATAAATTGACTTCCATCAATCAAATACAGATGGCTGCAAGTGAACACGGTATCCATGGACTTGTTGGTTTCTTACCTGAATCTATTCTATACAGAGAGTAACCATGTAGGTTTCAGAGAATAATTAAGGTCCTTCATTGAAGAACCAGTGGAACACTATACAGTGTTTTGCTTTCCTAGCAGGAGAGATTCTCTATCAAACGAGATTCCATAGGCTCTTTCTCTTCACTTGTAGGGTGATGTGGAGGAGGATGAAGCCATCCCAGATAGCGAACAAGATATCAAACCTCGCTTTCATAAATCACGCACAGTTACTCTGCAGCACGAAGAGGAGCGGTTGCAGGATGAGGAAGATGGAGAGGATGAGGACGATGACGATGACACATTGTCTGACTGGAATCTGAGTGCGTAGGGGGATTAGTATTAAACCGTGCTCTAGGGCAGGGGTCCCCAACCCCCAGTCCGTGGACCATCCGTGAGATGCAGGCAGCACACAAAACCACGCCCCCTCCAGTCCACAGAAAAATCTCTCTCCATTGAACCAGTTCCTAGTGCCCAAAAGGTTGGGGGCCTTTGCTCTAGGGATCGAGAGGAGTAAAATGCCGGGGATGTGGATTCTGGGAAATAGTGCATGTGGGTCAAATGGAGAGAGTGCTACATTACGACCATTTTTGAACTTGAAACTGTAGCCCTGTGTAGATGAAATGGTTTATGCGTTTTCTACTTTGCTGTTATATGGAATTAGATGATAATTAGATGTAGAAAATAAGTTTTACTGGGAACCAGTTGTTACTCTTCTTTTTGGCTGCCCCTTTTTAACTCTTAATTTTACATCATCTTGGCAGGGGCTTGAGAGAAGAGCATATACTTAATTTTCCAATACATAACCGTCGAAATCAATAAATGACTTTCTGACATAACAGGGTTTAGCGCAGAAGCTCTTTGTACTTATTGATGTGAAAAGTTTTTCTCCTTTCAGCATTTGTGTCATTTCTGTCACATGGCCCATTCCTTTTGCAGGGAAGTGTTCGGCTGCTGCCCTTGATGTGTTGGCCAATGTCTTTCGAGATGAGCTCCTCCCGCATCTGCTCCCACTACTCAAGGGGCTGCTTTTCCATCCTGAGTGGGTCATCAAGGAGTCTGGAATCCTTGTCCTAGGGGCGATTGCTGAAGGTGAATCCTGAAGTTATTAACTTAAGCCAGAATTTCTTTCTATTGAGGGACAAGGACATTAGTGATCACTTCAAAAACAACAACAGGGAATTGACAGTTTTAATTAGTTTGCCTGAGTACGTCTAGATCATGTACTAAAAACATCTTTTGCATTTCTAGGCTGCATGCAGGGCATGGTTCCTTATCTTCCTGAGCTGATTCCCCACTTGATCCAATGTCTGTCTGACAAAAAGGCCCTGGTGCGTTCCATTGCTTGCTGGACCCTGAGCCGCTATGCACATTGGGTTGTAAGCCAACCCCCAGACATGTATCTCAAGCCTCTGATGACAGAGTTGCTCAAAAGGATTCTTGACAGTAATAAAAGAGTGCAGGAGGCTGCTTGCAGGTAATCTGCTCCTGGAATGCTTTCAGTTATCTGTGAAGGACAGCAATGGAGTCTTAAGCTTTTTTTTGTCATTATCAGCACAAATATACTTTCTTATTTATTTACTTATTTATCTGTCTCTTGTTTTTCTATTAATTTGTAATCAAAATGGCTAATAATTAAAATACAAATAAAACACTGATGATCCTTTACCACCCATAGTTCAGTCTGCTTCGATGTAGAAATGTCTTTATGTAGAGTACCAGCTGATTATTGTTATCTCCTAGGCTTGATAGGGAGCTTAAAAATGCTTACCGGTAAGAAAGGTATCTGGAAACCTTGAGCTTCCATCTGTAGCTCTGAATAAAACTAGGATCTGTAGCATGAATGGATTTTTTGGGGACCATAAATGCTGCATTTCCTAATGCCCTGTATTCCTGGCAGTTTGGCTTCAGATCATGACTTCTATTTACCATTATGTCAGTAGCAGTTTTACATTGGATTCTTGGAAAAGTGTAACCTCATTTTGCCTGCCTATTTCAATCCTGAGGAAAAAAAAAACACTGGGAGAACAATAATTATTACATTGCCAGCCTGCATCCAGAATATATGGTTTGTGTGGGCTGGCCACCCACATTCTAAAGCAGGTCTGAGCTATAGAACTCTCCTAGTAAGGCTTTCTATTGTTATCTTGAGGCTTTCTTTGGATATGATGAAGAATTTGATGATTGAGCTCTTATCACATGATGAATCATATATTCGTACTGTCTGATCCAGAGAAATGCCCTTATATTTCAGATCAAAAATAGTAATTAGGCTATCACAACAAAACTAATTTTTTTATCCAAACAAACCCCCCAAGTGTTGGGTTGACTTTTTGTTTCTATCTGTTCACTTCCTGGGGCTGTTATCCTTTGGGTTTGTATTCACTTCCTGTTGTCGGTTTTTTTTAGTGCTTTTGCCACCCTTGAGGAGGAAGCTTGCACAGAATTGGTCCCATATCTCAGTTTCATTCTGGATACTTTGGTTTTTGCTTTTGGAAAATACCAGCATAAGAATTTGCTGATCCTGTATGATGCAATTGGCACTCTGGCTGATTCTGTTGGACACCACCTCAACCAGCCGGTTAGTACATGTTTTCCTATTGGCAGCAGCGTCAGCAGAAACTGCAAGCATTTAATGACTGTGATTAGTTGAACTGTCTCTCTATTTCCTTTCCCACTTGAATAAAATACTATTAGTGCCAGGATTCTTGAATATAGGCAAATCCAGGTTGTGATTTTTTTTTTTGTTTTCCACTCAATAGGATAACATTAGGGGGAAAGGGATCTGCTACGTATGTCTGTTTTCTTTAAAACAGAAATCCTTAAATTAAAATTCGATGGTACACAAAAGAGTGTAAACCATAGTGGGGCGCCTCTTTTACAATTCTTGGATTTCCACCAAACCTGTTTCCTTAATGCTAATGTCCCACAAATGGGATTTCTGGAAAAGAAAAACGTATAAATATTCAGTTCATCCGCTACTGACACCAGGGGATTTCCTAATGACTTGAAGAACTTGATGGAAAGAGTTAGCTCAGTGGAAGCGATCTTACCCTGTGTGCAGAAAATCCCACATTCTGTCTTTGGTATCTTCAGTTAAAGCAGTGTTTCTCAACCTTGACAATTTTAAGGCATGTGGACTTCAACTCCCAGAATTCCACAGCCAGCATTGCTGGCTGTGGAATTCTGGGAGTTGAAGTCCACATGCCTTAAAATTGTCAAGGTTGAGAAACACTGAGTTAAAGGATCTCAAGGTAGTCCAGGTTCTAAGGTAGAATAGACCAGGATTATGCAGATTCTGAGGTAACAGACAAATACTATATTTAGGGGGGGAGGGAGAAATCCCCCCTTGAATTGAAGAATCTTTTTGGTCACCAGGATAGAATGAACTTCAGAGTTCTTCCACCTCAAAACAAAAACAGAAAACAAACTCCCCCTAATAGCTATGATTAGCTTCTTTATATTTATGCTGAGTTTAGAGCAAGAAAGGAGCAATTCTTATTGTCAATATTAAATAAGTGGGAGTTGTTCTATTGCAAACCATTCAAAGATCTACCAAGAGATCAAAGTTTACCTTCAGTCCATCCTGAAAAACAGGTAATTGGGACCGGAATTTCCGTTCTTAAGCGATGAGATTGTAATATACGACTGCATCATGTAGGGATAGCAGCCCCTGCAGTTTCGGTTGAATCATTAACTGAAGCCCATAGTCATTAGGTGAGGCAATTTCCTGCCCACTTTCCACAGTCAGACACAACAGAGAAGTTAGCAGGAAGTGGCAAGTTCCTGGCAGGCAGGTCAGTGGTTGCTACCAGATGAAGGAGGGACCAGGCAGTACGGAGGAGGATCAGGGAGAGTGCGCAAGATTGCAGGGAGGGTTGGGGAGGCAGTGCATGAGGGACACAGGATGGGGAGATTATATGAGAGGGTGCATAAGAGGTGCAGTGTGGGTTGAGGAAGATGTGTGAGGGTGCACTAAGAGGTTTGCAAGAAGTGTGGGTTGGAAGGTGCAGGGGAGTGCGAGTTGCAATACAAGTTGGAGAGAGTGCACAAGGCGGTGCATGAGTGGTGCATGTCAGGGAGGGTGCACAGGCTATGTACAAAAGTCAAGGTGCCGGTTGGCGAGGGTGTGCAAGTAACCAGCATGGCGCAAGTACAGAGGGCTGAGGAAGGGTGTGCAGGTCAGGGAGACTTACTCCAGTGACCTATGACCTTCCCTGTTTGCTTCCCCTATGACCTTATGGGTAAGCAAGCAGGGAAGATTGCAAATGATGATCACATGATTGCAATGTGCTACAACTGGTTGTAAGTGTGAACTGGTTGCCAAGTGCTCAGGTTGCAGTCATGTGACCATGGCCGTGCTGGGATAGCCAGAACTCCGAGGACCAGTCTTAGCCATCATTCATTCAGTGCCATTACAACTTCAAAAAGTAGCTGAATGAATTGTAGGTTGAGGACTACCTGTAGACTGTGTTGAACAGCTGGTGGTCTGCCTCTGTATCAAGTGCATCAGGAAACTGGCCTTCCAGTTGTTACTGAACTGCAGCTCAAAACAGCCTTCAGTAGTGATTGGGGGGTGGTGATTCACTATTATTAGAAACAACCAAGGTGTTACAGGTTCCTACTACAGATATATATAATGAAAGGTAACGGCAACATTCAGTTGCTTGGCTTCTTCCTAGTCAGCTGATTAATCACTTCTCCTTTAATTTCCTTATTATAATCAAAATCACAAAAGCCAGTTATTATGAGTAAGAACTGAAATTTCCCCAGATCTTATATTTTTCGTCTGCTACTTGTGTTTTTATGAATAGATGCTCCTATCAATGCAATTGTTAGCATTTGCAAATCTGGTAAACATTACTCAATTGATTTGAATTCCAGCAGAAATCCCAATGCCAGAAACATATATGACAAATTAAAATAGAGACTGTTTGAATCCATAACATACTGAATGATTTTTAGTTCTAAAGATTCTGGGCTGGTGCTGGCAATGGTTCCAACTGAAATGTGGTTGTAAATTGCCCTATTTTTTCCAGGAATATATCCAAAAGTTAATGCCTCCACTGATTCAGAAATGGAATGAGCTGAAGGATGAGGATAAGGATCTTTTCCCCCTCCTAGAAGTAAGTAGCCAATTAGCTACTAATTTTTTGGATGGATTTTAGTGTCTCAGATGATATGACTAATGGCATTGTGCATGAAAAATTGACTTATCTGTTGCTCTGTTTAAAGATAAATGTCTTACCCTTGTCTGTAGGTCCTGTACTCTGTGGAGCTACATGTTGTGTGTCGTTTTAGCAAAACGAGAGAAACTGATATTTATTTTCATGTTTGATCTCAAATTCCTGATCTCAATATTTAAGTATAGAAATGTACATTCAACATGATCTTTCATGAATATCTTTTCATGCACTGTCCATTCACTTCCACAGTGTTTGTCATCTGTAGCAACTGCTCTACAAAGTGGCTTCCTACCGTACTGTGAACCGGTCTACCAGCGCTGCGTAACACTGGTGCAGAAAACCTTGGCTCAAGCAATGGTATGGCAGTATTTTCTCAGCAGTATCTGAGAAATTTGTTCTAAGTTCCCCAAACATGTTTCTGTTTTGGAATCACGGCTCGCTAATGGATGAGAAGTAATGGAGCAGATTAATTTATCATAAAAAATATTTGATCCATTAGGTGCCTGAATCTTAATTTGCCAGTCTATTGTTTTAATGTGTGGGTGTACGAAGTTTTTCAATCCAAGAGCTATATTTGGTTTAGAATTGGATGGTGTGGGCTGCATTCTGTAGAACAATGTGGAACAATTTGAAAATTCAAATATGAGTTCATTTAGATTTAATCGAAATACACTGAATAATTATTGTATTTTTTTTTATCTGCTATGTCACAAACTACAATTCAGTGGAAATTTCTGGAGGGCTCCTGGGAGCTGCATATGGTTGCAAGTTGTCTATCTCTTATAGTAGCAGAACTGCTCTTTACAATCTGTTCAGGAAAACTTGAAGTGTAGTTGACATGTCACCTTTTTTTGCAATAAATTATTTTTTTTCCAACACAGATGTACAGTCAACACCCTGATCAGTATGAAGCACCTGATAAAGACTTCATGATAGTTGCTCTTGATCTGCTCAGTGGTTTAGCTGAAGGTCTTGGATGTCATGTTGAGCAGCTTGTGGCCCGTAGCAATATAATGACTCTACTGTTCCAGTGCATGCAAGTGGGTGGAAGTTTTACATGTTTGGCTGTTTAGCCCAGAAACAGTTACTAAGGGCTCAAAAAAAAATATCATGTCTTGAATATTAGTCTAAATATTGCAATAAAAATAGGGAGCTGTTATATTTTAGCATGATTGCAAGATGGGCATGTGGGTAGTTCAGAGGAAGTATTTAGCATTGCATGTTATTAATTATTTGCTTTATAAAAGCATTCTAAAAATGGAAGCTCTAAATACTTTGGAATAGTTACCACTTCAATATAATTTTGATAGCATATTAAAGAGAAAGAGAGATGGTGGGAAGGATGTATGTGTGTGTAAATATCGTTATTGAAGAAACAGAATAGATTAGAATTATCCAGCAGTGCTTTGAAGATAGGGAAAGCAATGTATTTTGATTAGTCAGACGCACATTTTTAAAAGGAAGTGAAAAAATTACTTTGTCTAATGGGGACTGGAGTAGATTAAATAACTTTTAGAATAGAATAGAGCTGGAAGGGACCTTGGAGGTCTTCTAGTTCAGCCCCCTGCTCAAGTATTACCATTTCAGATAAGTGACTATCTAGTCCAGGGATGTCAAACTCGTAATGTCACGTGATGTGTCGCGACGTATCGTGACTTTTTTTCCATTGCCGGCAATGGGGTTTGCATGGTTTTGCTATGATGCATCCAGCCTGGCAGTTTGACACCCCTGGTCTAGTCTCTTCTTAAAAACCTCCAGTGATGGAGCGTCCGCGATTTCTGAAGGCAAGCTGTTCCACTGGTTAATTGTCCTCACTGTTAGGAAGTTTCTCCTTAATTCCAGGTTGTTTCTCTCTTTGATTTAATTTAGAAATATACATAAGTTTTTATATTTTAAGTGAATCCAAAAAACTTAACAAAATTGGATAATAAAAAAGGAATCCAAATGGCTAGCTTCAGGTATTTGTCCCAATCTTAGTTCAGCTTACTTCAGCTTTTAATATAAATATGGTAAATTTTTAATCTGAGAAAAATTAATCAGCTGTATGGTAGTACCAATAAGGCAAAGAGCCTGGAGTAGGACTTAAACAAGACTGGCACAGGAAGTCCTATTTCTGTGTCTGAAATAAAATGTAATCATGTAGCTGATAAATTCGCACATTAGGTTTATACATCATATTAGATCTTGTACTTTTATAATTTTGTTCACTTCTTACACAATACTGTGGTTAAAATAATAAATAGAACTTTTTTCTCATATTCTTCTCCTGTTTATAGGATACTATGCCAGAGGTTCGACAAAGCTCCTTTGCACTACTGGGAGATCTTACCAAAGCCTGTTTTATGCACGTCAAGCCATGCATAGGTAGGTACCCTTTCCCCCTAAGGCCTACAGATATTTTTTATGATAGTAGCGGTCTCAGTATTGATGCTTTTAAATATCCCAGGTAAGAAAAGCAAGAAATGTACATTGGTGGGAGAGGTCAGAAGGATATTATGCTAATTGTTAACATTGACTTGTATGTGGTTTATGTTCCTATGCTCCTGATAAAAAATGATCTTTGGCATTTTCCTTGCCCATCCTAATTCCTAGTTGTTGGGACATTTTGAAAAGTACAAATTCCAAATATTTTCATTTCTATTCCACTTAAAAGAAGCTCCCATTAGATAAAAGATAGTTCCATTGAAGGCAGTATATTAACAACTAGTTAGTTTCCTGCTTTAGTGAGAAAAAAGATTAAAAAGAAAGTGATAATTCTCCCAGCCAGTTTTGTGTAGGCTGAGAACTAAAAGATGGCAGATATACAACTGATCTCTATTCTGGGTTTTGAGCTGCTAGTGCGCAGAAGTAGATTAAGAATTAAAGAAAGGGATGATTTGATCAGCTCGGTCATATTAACTTTTAACAAGTAATACTGAAAGAAGGAGGGGGTCTGCCAAAGCAATGACTAAAACTTTGATAAAGATTATTCTGGAGTTATTACACATTAGGGACTTTAAACTGAAATGTTAGATAGTTGTTGTTTAGGCTAAAATGGAGCCCTTTATACCAACCCATTTATTGGAATATGGCAAAAATGATTTTAAAATTTTACTGCTTCCACTTGAGAGCTAAAAAATCAGTGATCCAAATATTATAAATGCTACTTGTAATGTTGCAGTTGAATACAGTATGAGTTCAAATTTAAGTGTTCTGTACTGATCTTTTAGAACTAAGGCTAGGATGACAAGGTAGACCACAACCTATTTCTTGGTAAGCTAGAAAAATGTGGGATTGACAGTATTACCACCAGATGGATTTGTAACTGGCTGACAAACCGTACTCAACGAGTAGTCCTCAATGGCTCTACATCTACATGGAGGGAAGTAAGCAGTGGGGTACCACAAGATTCTGTCTTAGGTCTAGTACTCTTCAGTATCTCCATAAATGACTTAGATGAGGGACTAGAAGGGGATTTCATCAAATTTGCAGATGACACCAAGCTGGTAGGAATAGCCAACACTCCAGAAGACAAGCTCAGAATCCAAAAAGATTTTGACAGATTTGAACAATGGGCCCTATTTAACAAAATGATATTTAATGTGGAGAAAAGCAAGGTATTACACATGGGCAGGAAAAACCAAAGGTACAAGTATAGATTAGGCAAAACCTGGCTCCAAAACAGTAACTGTGAGAGGGACCTTGGAGTCCTAGTGGACAATCACTTAAACATGAGTCAGCAGTGTGTGGCAGCAGCAAAAAAAGCTAATACAATCCTTGGTTGTATAAACAGAGGCAAAGAATCAAAATCATGTGAAGTATTAGTACCGCTTTATAAAGCTTAGTAAGGCCACACTTGGAATTCTGTATCCAGTTTTGGTTACCACATTACAAAAAAGATGTTGGGACTTTGGGAAAAAGACCAGTCTAGATAAAAGAAGGACTAGGGGGACATGATAGCCTTATTTCAGTATTTGAGAGGCTGCCACAAGGAGGAAGGGTCAATTTATTTTCCAAAGCACCAGAAGGCAAGACAAGAAACAACTGATTGAAACTAATAAAGGAGAGAAGCAACCTGGAATTAAGGAGAAACTTCTTAACAGTGAGGACAATTAACCAGTGGAACGGCTTGCCTTCAGACGTTGTGGGTGCTTCATCACTCGAGGTTTTTAAGAAAAGACTGAACAACCACTTGTCTGAAATGATATAGGGATTCCTGCTTGAGCAGGGGACTGGACTAGAAGACCTCCAAGGTCCCTTCCAGCTCTATTCTGATTAATTTCTTAAAATAAAAGATACATTAATGAGACATCTGAATTTTGCCAGTCCAAATCTAGAGCTGCCTAAATTAAGATTGAAAGAACTAACACAGTGATGAGATTGCCCATTCTTTCTGTGCAGAACCTTTATAATGGTTAGTTGTAGTCTTAGTATTCTTTATTATGTTGATAATCAATGCTGAGTAAACGTATTTTCTCTTTAGCTGAATTCATGCCTATCTTAGGGACCAACCTGAATCCAGAATTCATTTCTGTGTGCAACAATGCTACTTGGGCAATTGGAGAAATATGCATGCAAATGGGTGAGTGTAAAAAAGTGCCCACACAAATATGGGTGGTTAGACTACTATAGCACTTTGGAGTTGTATTCCTTTCTGGTTTTTATATGAGAATAATGTCTCTTTGGCATTTTAGGGTGATAGACTTCTTATTGCTTAGGTGATGTATTACTTCATGAAACCTATTTAAGTTGTGCTTTTTGGTGTTTAATTCTGTTAGTCCCCCAATGAGTTTTTCACTCTCACAGTCTTGAGCCATTGATGCAACTGTTGTTAATGATGGCTGTGATATATTTTGATAATTTGATAATATAATTTGTTGAGGTGCTGTCCCAATGCATGGAGGCTGTGTGAGCCTCAGTGGGAAGAAACTAATGCAAACTCAATGCCACAAAGACCAAATGGCTGTAGATGTTGGAACCACCTAGATCTGGGGACCTTATATCTTTATTCATGGATGGAATTGCATTTGTCCATTCAAGAGTGATGAAGCTCTTGGATTTAAGAAACCAAAAAGGCCTTTGCAGAGCTCCATCTGGAGTATCAATTGCATCCTTTCCTGGTTTGAGAGGGCCTACCTATAAAGACCACTTGGAAATTTTTCTGCTTCGTGAGCTATGATGATTGCCGGTGTTTCTCCAGGTACAATTCAAGGTGGTGATGATGGCCTAGAAAGCCCTAAATGGCATAAGGCTTGATTATTTGTGAAACCATCTCTCTCCCATGGTTTCTTCCCACCTAGCTGACAGAATGTGCATTCTCTGAGTCCCCTTAATAAACAGTGCCATTTGTCAGGAAGCATGCCTTTCTGTGACTTGGTGCCTGGCATCTGAAATGGCGTCCCCTCTGAGATCTGAATGGCTCCCACCCTAATGACATTCTGGAAGCCCTTAAATATCAGGGTGTTCTCCCATGCTTGAGTTAGGTTGGATTGAACCCTTTGCTAGATGTGCTTGCATGTTTTTTTGATGGTGTATATCCACATTCCCCATTTTCATTTGTTTGAGTCAGCCTAGAGTTGGATAATGTCAAAGTCAAATAAATACATAAATAATAGCATCAATTTCTACTTTATCTATAGTTGTGGCCTACCCCTAATTGTAACAGGACCCTTTTCTTATAAGACTGATATAAGCTTTTCTGGTCATTGAATCCAAAATCATTTTGTTTATGCATGAAGAAGCAGCAAGATGTTAAATTGGAAGACATTCAAATATGGAATCTAGATTTCTACAACTAAGCATGACTCAGTTCACTGATTTCTTTTTACCAGGGGCTGAAATGCAGCCATATGTCCAGATGGTGCTGAATAATCTTGTGGAGATCATCAACAGACCAAATACCCCTAAAACTCTTCTGGAAAACACAGGTGAGAGGGCATTCTGATTTTTTATTAAATGCATTTGCTGTCCTAGTGATAGCTATCATTGTTTACTAATTCATAAATAGATTTATTAATATTGATTAGATTTCATGGGCAATCCTTTAATATGACTATCATTCAAGATTATGCTTTAACCACCAATTCAGAAGAAAATGAAGTTGATAAGCTGTATGATCAAATCCACGTTGGGGAAAAACAGAACATACAAGCAAAGTGTGTGGCTTGTGATTGGAATGCCAATGCTGGAAACATAAAGAAAATATCATTAAATAGCATGATTTAGGAAACTAAAATGAAGCACGGGACCAACTTATCAATATCTGCTGTTCTAATGATTTCATGGTTAACACTCTTCAAACAATGAAAATAATGCCTCTATACACAGACATAATCAGATGGAGGATATATAAATCCAGTTTGCTACATCAGGGGTCCCCAACCTATGGGCCGCGGCCCACTACTGGGCCACGTCCTCTTGGCCACCAGGCCACGTGAAGGGATGGAATTGAAGAAATTAATAAGACATAACCATCAGATGGAAATGTGATTAAACCCTAGACTTCTATGGCTGTTTCTTCACTAAAATTTCAGTAATTTCAAATGATTTTTGATTTACTAAAGGTTTAATGGAATTAAAAAGCTGTACAGGTAACTAATTTGATACCATTTACTGGTGTGAAACCATCTTTATATTATGTGCTGCAGTATAGTAAAGCTAAGGTGGTATACTGCCATATACTTCCATTGATTCTGTCCACCCATATCTTATTACTACAAATTGATAAGACACTGCTTTTGTGACAGGTTTGTTTCTTTGTCTTTTATAGCCATCACAATTGGCCGCTTGGGCTACGTCTGTCCTCAGGAAGTGGCACCAATGTTGCAGCAGTTTATCAGACCTTGGTTAGTGTTTATGAAGAGGCGTAGAAGAGACTTTGGGGCTTGCTTTTCCAGGGTTAAAACAGACTGGGGACATCTCAGATTGTCAAGTATTTGATCCTCTAGTACAGACATGTCAAACACAAGGCCCACGGGCCAGATCCGGACCACCATGTGGCTGGGTCTAGCCTGTGGAACTGCACTGGAAACAGCGAAGGACCGGCCCAAAACACCTTGGCCCGGCCCAGGCCAACTGGGCACTGATCTATAACCTGGTTGCGTCCATCAAAGCCAGAACGCACCCAGCCTTAGATCCACGGGGCAGCCCTGGAACCAGCGACGGGCACTCCTGCTCTGCCCCCTGAGCACACGTGCAGGAGGCAGCAAGCAGATGGAGTCCGGTGTCCCTGCTGGCTGTCTTGCCCGAGAGGCTGACTTCACCCAGGACACCAGCGCTCGTCGCCTCCTATGCGCACACCCAGGGGGCGGGGCAAAGGCGGCGGGGCAGCCCCTCGCTGGTTCCAGGGCTGCCCCGTGGATCTAAGGCTGAGCGTGTTCTGGCTTTGATGGACGCAACCAGGTTGTAGATCAGCGCCACCCCCTGTCCCACCAGCACCTCCATGGTCCGGTCGCTGACCTAGCCACACAGCCATGAGGCTTCTCTTTCACAAGGACCAGCCCCGCTCACGTGGGATAGCGATGGCCAGTGGCAGCATGGCCAGTGGCAGCACTGGCAATCTCTCCCCCTCCCATTGTTCCTGAGCATGGAGGAAAGAAAGAGATGGGAATGAGAAGCAAGAGAGGAAGGAAGGAAGCAAGGAAGGAGATGGAAATGAGAAGGAGGGAGACAGTGAAAGAGGAAGGAAGGAAGGAAGGAAGGAAGGAAGGAAGGAAGGAAGGAAGGAAGGAAACTTGGTTGGAGATGCTCCAGTTCACGCAGTTCTGATTCAATCCTGAATCCATTGAGACTTTGAGTTCAAAGGAGAAAGCAATTTTGTGTTCTGTTTTGTCACAGATAGAACATTATTGGTAATCCAAGTTAACATTGATATTCTTGAATTGTGAACTCTTAGGAAAGTATCCCCTCCTTGTGTGTTGCAAACAGCCATTTCCAGTGGGGAAAACAGGACAAAGCAGAGTGGGGGAAAATATTTTCCTTTGCTATATTTCCAGTCTGAATTAGACCATGGCAGGGTCCCTGCAGGAGAGCCCTTCTAAGGATTATGTATTAATAGAAAAGCAACTAACTTACCTCTGTTCCTAAATGCTAAAGCTGTCGCACATAAAAAACAGAGGAGCTCTGATCAACTATCACAGCCGCCATTTTGACAGTTTTGCTGTACTGTTGTCTGTGGACGCCCCCACTAAATGCAAGCAAGGGATAAACTGAGCCTGGTTTGTTCTCAGTCTTTTAAGTGGCCACAGACTACTAGCAAAAGTGGCATCTGATCACAAGGCAAGGAGGCATCGAGAAATGTTTCCCCTTTTGCATTTGAGCATCCAAGAAGGGACAGGAAAGGAGAAAGGGAAAGACAAAAAGAAGGAAAGAGGGGAAGGAAAAGAAGAAAAGGAGAATGAAGAGGGAAGGAAAAAGAAGAAAAGAGGGGAAGGAAGGAAGGAGATTATAATGAGAGGGAAGGAGGGTCTGAGGGAAGTCCTGCCTTAGCACTTGGCCATGAGCAGCCCTGCTCCCCTTTCGCCATCCCCTTGTCCCCTCTTCCTGATCTTTCCTGGTGGTCTCCCATCCTATTGCTGAGGATGCTTTGGTTACAAAGCCGGGTCTCCTCACAGGGAGAGGGAGTGGGCCTCCCTCTGACCCACACATTTTTCCCTCCCGCACACAACATGAGCAACTTGGCCAAGGAGAGCAAGCCAATCAGCAGCAGCCTTGAGAAGCAGGTAAGCGCAGCCGGGTGCCACCTTGGGAAAGGCTGGACTGGGCGCTTGCCCTCCCCTGCCCAGGGCTCTGGGCAGCTTGCATCACAGGGTCCTCCGCATGGCCTGAGGGACAAAAAGGCTCCTTTGGTGGACGAGGGTATAGTGCTCGCCCTGGTCTCGCCTTCCTCAACTGGAGACAATGGATCCCCCTAACCTCCACTGGGCCACCACAGGCGCCCCCCAACACTAGCGATGTTGAGCTCACCACGCCCACCTCTGCTATGCCCGCCACGCCCATCCTGGGCCCCCAAGTCTACAGCTGAAATACGTTTAATGTCAGTTTTTCTTACAGGACGTGTAAAGGAACGATCCTAAATTTAGCATTTATAATGTATTTTTTTTTTGCTTGTGGTTTTATTCTAAATAATGATCAGAGTTTAAATTGAATCATAAGCCCTATATAAAGAAGGGTGCTAAGTGAATATTAAATGTAGATACATTAGTGGAAGAATGTATACTTAGCAGAAACTGGGTAAGAAATCTGTTATTTATCTGATGATGTATCTCTGCGAAAAATATCAATCTTAGTGCATGGTTTGGGGAAATGCATTGTTTTTGGTCTTCCCCACTTTCTTAACATATGAAAGATGTATTCTTGTTCATAGGTGTACATCTTTGAGGAACATTCGTGATAATGAAGAGAAGGACTCTGCTTTCCGTGGCATCTGTATGATGATTGGAGTAAACCCTGGTGGAGTTGTACAAGTAAATAAGCTTTAAACATTAAATTCTTTGCTTTGTTATATATGCTATCCCAGGCTGAACAAGAAGGTAGATCTTGCTGTACTGATAAATCTACTGTTAAAATAATTAAGGATGTTTGACTCTCAAATGCTTAGCCATAGTAGCAGTCAGTTATGAAAAAGATTTTTAAATGAGGAGACAATTTTTAAATTTTGCATGCGTCTCCCTTGCTAGACTCCAAACAGATGTGTTTCTAGTTTTCCTAAAAAGACTGATCCTATTACCTTGAACTCTGCCCGCCTAATTCATAATAATCAGACATTTACTCAGTCCTGCATAAGTTTCCATTTGTTATGATTTTCATTGCTCGTTAATTGATGTTCGAGCTGGCTGTTCCATTCTCTGCAGTATTTTCAGATGCTCATTAATATGTAGAAAACTAGTCAAAAATATCTAGTATATTACATATAATAGTTTCACAAGATCTTCCTTAGCTTAAGGCAGGCTTGCCAGGTTTCCTAACTTCACACTGGTTAGATTTTTGATTTCACGCCCTATGCTTTTGCAGAACGATAAACTTGATTTTGCTGGCTTGAACTATAATTTGTAGTGAATATTTTCTTAAGCATTGTCGTATTTTTCTAGGATTTTATTTTCTTCTGTGATGCTGTTGCTTCATGGGTGAGTCCAAAGGATGACCTGAGAGATATGTTTTATAAGGTAAGTCATCATCATAGGGAGAGGTTTGCTGGACAGTATGCTGTATTAAGAGTAGTACTCATTATTTTAGAATTCCTTTTCCTTTAGTAAGTCAATGTTATTTGTTTATATACTCATGTCGTTTCCTAATTTATATCTCTGAATTTTCTTTCCGGGTTTTTTGGACGCTGTAGATAGATTATAAGCAGTTTTATGTGAGATATAGGTGTCAACGCTGCAAATACTGTATATTCTTGCTTTGACAATATGCAGAACTGTCTGGTATTTTTATAGTTAAATCAGGCAATAGTGAAAGGGGAGGAGAATAAGGAAAGCCCAGGAAAAAGAAACCGGAAGTAAATCACATCTTCCAAGTTAATTGGAAGATGTGAACCATGACCCCAAAACAGGGGAGGAAAAAATGCCTGGAATGTATGTGCAACGGAAAAGAATCTCAGATCTAAGCACTTCCACCATGCCGTACTGACATCTCTGTAACCTTAATAAATGCTTTTAGGGAAAAAATATGCCTGAAAGTCCTTTTAAGTGTTTCGTTAATCAGACACATGACAATAGGGTTGGGCTAATAATGGTGTGGTTGTAACGGTGTGCCTTTTTCTTCTCCCCAATGAGTGATGATGTTATTTTTTTCAGATTCTCCATGGTTTCAAAGATCAAGTTGGGGAAGATAACTGGCAGCAGTTCTCAGAGCAGTTTCCTCCACTTCTGAAAGAGAGGCTTGCTGCATTCTATGGTGTTTAGGCGAAGCAGCAAAACCATACTTGGTGAGTCCCAGGAATGTTGAGTGAGATTATATCCCCACAATTAAAAGGAGAACGGGTAACTAAAAGGGGATGGAGCATTTTTTTAAAGAAATCTTGTCTCAAGGATCAGAAATTGAGAAGAAAGGGATAGATCAGGGGTAGGCAACCTTGTCTCTTTTATGACTCGTGGACTTCAACTCCCAGAATTCCTGAGCCAGCATACCTGGCTCAGGAATTCTGGGAGTTGAAGTCCACGAGTCATAAAAGAGACAAGGTTGCCTACCCCTGAGGTAGATCTTCCAGCTCTAATCTCTAATCCATGCTGATTTTGAAGATCCAGCCTTTTCATTTTACTATATGAATTAGAATTAAGAAATATACCAACAAGACTTTAATGTCCACCAGAGCCGGTGGCATTGATTTTTATTGCTTCTGAATTGTGGCCAGTTACCACTTCTAATTGTGGCTGTACTAATTTAACTCATGACTCTGCACGATGAAAGTTAAGTAACTTTGGTAAAACTAGTTGTGAAAAAAAAATGGTTCAGTCTTGTGAATTCAGTGGGTTATGGGCTACCTTTTTTTTAATTCCAATCTTCTTTCTTTCCTTAGGTTCCTGTGTGCGCTGGGAGGGATACTGGGAACTCGTCCATAACCCAGTGTTGCAGATCCCTGTTAATGGGGGGTTAGGGAGGACGGGAAGAGCATTGTGGGACATAAAATGACCGCTCCCCATCTCCTGAAATTTACAAAGTTGGGGGGGAGGGTGGGCCTCCATAACCAATTGAAACAAAAACCAGGGTATCTCAGTGGCAGAAGGAAAGGCCTCTTTTATTCAGAGGCCATCATAGATGGAATGGGGTGGGGTGGGACTCGGCCCTGCGCTGAGAAAAGGGAGCAAACTTAAACTGCAACACTCTTGAGAAGGGGATCTAACTAGGGGCCATCATAAAGAACTAGCTAATAATAATAAAGGATAGGTTTAAGATGTTAAAAAGGATTAAAAGCTACGGTGGTTTAAAGCCAGCTGATGAAGAGGGAAGGGTTAAAATGTAATCCAAGGGGGTTATACTACTGTATATTTCCAGTCACTGGGATTCAAGAGATCAGCTATTCTTCACCTTTTCAAGACTGCATGGTGACCAAGAAGTAGATTAGCAAATCTGTGAGTAGTCCATAATGACTAAGTGTAAGCATTTTCATCTAGGAACCTTAAAGAAACCCACAGAATCTTTTTGCCATAATAATTGCCATGGCACTGTGTGCTAGAAGTGATGCTCAGTGCAAAGGCAGCCTATGACCTTGCAGGGACCTGCTAGCCATCTAGGGAGCAGTCTTTTTCATAAGAAATACCGTTGGAGAAGCATGTCTTCATTTTTTAAAGATGCCACAGTGCGATGAGTCTTTTACCCTGTTGTTCAGCTGTTACTTTGTGACACTGCTATTATATTGCTTCAGTTGCAGGAGGCAGGAAAGAGCAAGGTGGGAAACTGAATTTCACAGACCAAACATGGGCAGAAAACAATGCTTTTTTTTTTTTTTTTAAATGGCTCGTGGCATACAACATCCTGCACTCTTCTGATCAGAGTGGTATTTTACATGATGGTAATTTACATTTTCTGTCTTAAGGACTTCTTTGCCACATTCGCCATTCTGGCCTACAAAAGAAATAATAAACATAACAAAGTACAGAAGAATGATTAAACAGGGAATCCTCCAGGAATGATCAGTAAAAGCTCGTAGATTTTGCTGCGTACTTAATGGAGTTGCTGTCTTAAGAAATTCTCATTAAATCCAATTGCATCATTCTCTGAAAATGGGGGATTACTGAATGCTTTTAACATAGTTAAAAAGCCATAGATTTTTAATAGGGAAATGAAAATGTTGAAGTAGAAGCCCATTTTCCCAAAGGCAGCTAGGATGTGAGGGAAAGGGAATACTGCTTCACTTTTGGAAAGATGAGGAATGCTTGAGGAGAGGTAATACTCAAAAGGAACATTCTGCAGAATAAACAAGAACAAGATCTGTGCAAAGCAGTGTTTGTCTACAGACAGCTTGGTGACAAGGAACAAGTGAGCTGTTCTTAGCAGATCCCAATGGAACTTCGGCAACATCAGGATTAATAGCCAGACAACTAGGTTGAACTGTGCCTTGTGTCCTGCATTGCTTCTGAGGGTGGTAAACAAAAGTGGTGAGACTACTTAGATGTTAAAGAAGATTTATGTGACAAAAAGGACATCTCTTTTGGGGGTTAAAGTTGTACTTTCTGACAGTAACTGATGGTGATACTTTCAGTACTGTGTATGAATTTTTAAAAGTGTATTTGTGAGATTGCCCAGTAACTTAAGCTTCACTGATACACCTATCTACATTTTTCTTTATATTTCTGGCCTCCGTTTCATATGTTAATAATGCTTGCAGTTCTTGGAATTTGACATAGAACTTGCTGGGGCATTACCATACAGGCCTTTGTGCCAGAAAATCATTTCATTTTGGAGATGGCACATGCCTAGGTGAAAGCTGCTATTCTCATTTTTGGATCTGATTGCTAGGAGGTGGGGCACGCCCTTCCATCTCTGCATCTCCTCAAAAGGTCAAAGAAAAAATAGTAAAGTTGCAGATAGCAAACTTCCTGAATTCATCTTTTTAATAGTATCAAACTTGAGCAGGTCTCTGAAAGCAATCGGCTAGTTCTTTGCATTTTAATTGTTTTATTACAAGTGTTCCTCCTTGTGCTGTATTCTCCTTGTCCTGGGGGGAGGGGGAGCAGAGATTCTATTTGGGTAGCAATTGGTTTTTAAATGCATGGGAAAGAAATATGCATAGGTGGAGGTGGAAGCCTGGCTTGTACTTTGAAACCAAGTGCCCAGGAATATGAAAAAGGCGGCTGTGAACTGTTCCATCCAGTGAAGTTTAAGCTACTTGGCCTGACTGCCTCTTGAAATGGAATTTGTCTTTTGTACAAGTGCTTCTAGTATTGCCTCCTGTTTGTTAATCCTGGATTTGTATATTTGTAAATGTGCCGTAATGTTTCCAATGGTGGAACTGCAGTGTACCTAGTGTTGAAGCAGCTGCTTGCACCTTGCTCAAATGAGATTTTTCTCATTTTTATGTATAATTTTTTTGTCAACTAAAAAAATTCCTGTGACTCCAGTTTCCTTGTTTCTGACCACTTTCTTTGTCTTAAGTTAAATGTTTTTCATTGTATTTTCCAATGTACTGATTCAGTGTCACCCCCCTCCCCCCCTCCCCCAAAAAATTCAGGTGGGCTGAAGAAATCTGAATTCTGTATTTCCTACTGCTTAATTTGTATTAATTTTTCCCTTGAATTGCCTCGTTGAGAATAGTACTTCAGTGGAGAATGGGGAACTATTTTTTCAAGTAACTTCAGTTTGTTGGTAAAAAGATTTGCCTTTTCAAATTATAATAATACAGTTTTGTTGGTAGAATGAAACACTTTTTGAAAAGATGCATTTGAGCAATGTGGAATTAGAATTCTAAATTATACACAAACCCAAGATCATTTCCTTTCTAATACAGATGTATGTGCTAGTGGAGCTGCTGGAGCCCTTTGATAACCATTATTTTGCAGTAAGTTCAGAAGATAACTAGATTTATGCACATTCTCAGGCTTTCAGGAAAATTAGAGGTCAGGACAACTATCTTGTGCTGTGCCCTTAAAATGAGACAGCTGTAGTAACTTTCCTGTTTCTTGGACTTTTGGTATTAAATGTAATACAATATGCATCAGAACTTAAGTAGCCTCTAGTTCAGGGGTCTTCAAACTTGTGGACTTCAACTCCCAGGATTCCTCAGCCAGCGTGCCTGGCTGTGGAATTCTGGGAGTTGAAGCTCACAAGTCATAAAAGGGCCAAGTTTGAAGACCCCTGCTCTAGTTCTAGCCACTTTTCTGACAAGATTTTGTGTTTCATCATCTATATCGGGTAGTCAACTTTGGCTCTTTTATGACTCGTGGACTTCAATTCCCAGAATTCCTCAGCCAGCTTAGCTGGCTCAGGAATTCTGGGAGTTGAAGTCCACGAGTCATAAAAGAGCCAAGGTTGACTACCCCTGATCTATATTAAAGATTTGTTACTACACAAGTCAACTGCAGGAATTTACTAATTGTATTTTATCTTTCTGGACAAGGTTGTCCTGCAGTGCCTTTAAACTAGATGGTAGTCATGCGTGTGTAATGTTTAGTTATCAAAACATATTTCAGTTGTATAATTCATTTAAACAGAAGTAAAATGATTGTATATTTTGTGCATGCATGCATTTGCAGAATATAACTTTATACTACATACTTGAACATGCACATAACTTCATGCATACATTTCTTCATACATATATATTCTAAAACTCTTACAAAACAGTCCTGTCCTGCTGAATTTCTGCTTCCTCAATTGTCTTAATCCCTCGTCAAGATGTTAAAAGAGCAGTCCGTTTTGCTAGTAGACCATTTAAAACAGTGTTTCTCAACCTTGACAATTTTAAGGCATGTGGACTTCAACTCCCAGAATTCCACAGCCAGCAATGCTGGCTGTGGAATGCTGGGAGTTGAAGTCCACATGCCTTAAAATTGTCAAGGTTGAGAAACACTGATTTAAAAGAATGTTTCTAAACACTGCCATAAGCCAGATAACAAACAGGCAAGTTTCACTAAGAGCACGGTTGAGGCTGCAGGAATACAGCTGCTGCCCGTGGGAACCATTGTTTTTAATTTAAAAGAGTTGTTACCTAAACGTTCCTGTGCGCACACTCCACACTTGGAACCCACAAAATCCGAGACTCGTGAAAGCTCCTTCCTCACATAAAAGGCTGCTTTGCGTCATCAATTGGCGCCGGAAGTGGTTCCTTGGAGACGAGACGCGCGAAGGCGGCGTAGCGGGCGCGACCTGTCAAGGCAAAGCTGCCTTAAATCGATGGTGTTGGTTCTTCCCTTCCGGCGAAGCGGCGGAGGCAGGTTGCCGGGAGGATTAGGATCCAAGGGAGCGGGAAGGAGGACTCGGCGTTGGGATTAATCTCTTACTGTGTGGAGCTCGGCATCTACAGAACGGAGATCTTCCAACGGCGCTAAGGCGGGCGTGACCACTGAACGGAGGAATTGTATTCGGCAGCAGAGCTGAATTTTTCACTTGCTGCCCTTCCCGGACAGGTACATGATAAGCGTGCATGGAGGCAGCAAGCGAAAGGAAGGCAGCAAAAAGAGCAGTTCCTTTTTTAGAATCGGCTTTGGGTGGGTCTGCGCGGGGAAGAGCAAGATAGGAGATTCGGTTTTCAAATTTCTTTGCTAAAACAGTGATCACAAGTGAGAGAGAAGCAGTTGTTTTTTTGTGAGATTTGTACTCTGCCTCTGGGGTGCTCAAAGGATAAGCCATCTTTCCGGAATCTGTTCCAGGAAGCTCTTAGCCTATTTGTGGTTTTATTCGTTAGGAAAAACGACAGCCATTTCAGAATACATATATTTTCCTCCTCCTGAACTCTGCTTTTCCCATAGGATGTGTATGACTGGAACATTCCTGATGGAGCTGGGAACCATAGCATAATGATTGGATCGTGCAACAGTTTTTATTTGGGTGGAGTCAGTTCTCATTTTCAGATGAAAGCTTGGAAGTCAGAATGAGAATAACTTTTCTAATCTTACTCTTTTCTCGACCTATGAACATTATTATTATTTGAAAAGAGATAAAACCAAATAAGATTTCTACATTTATCATTCAGAAGTCCATCTTCTTGTTAATTATCTAGGAATTTTTTTGAACGTTCAATAGATAAATTTCTTTTTACATCTTGTTCCTCGAGCATCGTTTTAAAATTTTCAGGCTTAAGTGTGGCTATAATTCATGCTCTCAAAACTTCCTTTGGCTGCATAAAACTTTTGTATTATTAATTGAAATATTGTATTATTAATTGAAATATATATTTCTAATAAAATAAGGTATGTTTGGTTTTTATCATTCCTTGTCTGAATTGTTTGTTTCTTGCCTTCCTGCAGCAATGGAAACTGCCTCAGATTCTTCTGTTGAACAACCAGCCTCTGACAATGATTCTGACACAGAGAGCAGAATAGATCCAGATACCCAGGCCCTGGAGTATGTTGAGCGTGTTCTTGGAACTTCAAGTCAATCCAGGCAAGCAATCCAGTGTCTACCTCCAGAGTCTCCCTCAATAGATGGTAGAGTCCGAACATCAGACCTCAGATCACCTCTAGAATTGAAAAAATCTGTTGCTGAAGAAATTGCTTCCGGGCTGTTGTCTCTTCCTCTAGAGTTGATTTTAGAAATCTGTTCTTACCTGCAAGCCAGGTTTGTTTTGCACGTCCTTCCTTTAGTCTGCAAGACTCTGAGGGACATTGTACAAGATGAAGTCACTTGGAGAATTCGACTTTTAAAAAGAATTGGCAATTGCTATCCAGTTGTAGAAGGTAGGTGGATTTTCTTTGTAGCTGTGGTGACCTCTATTTTAGCTTTTCACAAGCAGCTTCTCAGATGATTAACTTTTGATTTTAGGGGGAGGTGGAATTGGTGTTTTAAATGTAGATGATGGGGGAAGAAAGAAGCTAAAATGAGTTTTCCTTGTCTGAAAAGAGGGTTATCATTAAGTAAAATGAATAGAAATTTCACTCAAGCTACTTTTCCAATGCTGTAATTTGTAAATATTGCTGTAAATATTCTGGGTAGAACAACAGTAAATATTTCCTAGCCTGCTTCTCTTTCATTTTTGGAGTGTTGCAGGTAAGCTTAATAATATTGCCTTTGAACTGATAGTACCAAGTCCTTTACGATTTAAAGACAATGTCTCGTTAGTTCCCAAATTGAAATATTAGAATTTATCATGTCACTTTTGCAGTGTTGCAACTCCTGCTCCATTATGTAGAACTCCAGTGTTTTAGTATCTATCTTTTTTGGGTGTTTAAATTATGTAAACCATGTTAACACATATAGGTAAAACCACTATGTAAACATAAATTGCTTAATTTTGTTTTTACACCAAACAAAGGAAATCTATCCAATGTTTTTATTTTTAGCAGGTAATGATTTTAACTGGCCAACAGCTTGCATTGAACTAGAGGAACACCTCCAACAATGGGCAGAGAGTGGCAAAAACGCAGAGTATTTTTCCCTTACTGAAGGGCACTTTGCTTCTGTTGATTCTGTACTGCTCCTTCAGGTAAAAACCTGTCTCTCTTCGCTGCTACTAATGATGTAGCTTTGTTCCGACAAATTATATCCTTCAACATACAAAGTTTAATTAAAAGGAGCATCTTAAAAAATGTTCTGCATTTTCATTTTTCTGTGAAAACTTTGAGAAATAACTAACAAAATTCATCTGGCCAAATAGAGTTTCCTCGATGTTATGCTCCATTATAATCATGACTATCTCATAGTAGAGCTGGTTGTGTATTTGTTAGCACTTTATATGATTCTTTAGACATAAATGCTGAGTAGAGGATTAACTGTGGCCACTTCCTTTTTAAAAAAAAAAATCAACCTTCCTCTGTCTATCACTTAATCTAAAAAGTATTCCTTGTTTGCTACTATTGCTTTCCCATCATTTTTATTCTTGATTAATTACTGCTAAAGTGCTGTATTTGTCAAACCATTCTGATATTGTCTTTATAATGGGCTTTTAGTTTTATGTTTATTTCTGTTTATATAGCCACCTATCTTACTTGTAGGACTCTTGGTGGCTTACAAGTAAAAACAGCAGAAAAATAAACTTGTATAAATTAAAACAATTAAAACAATAGATTACAAAAATAAAAATGCAGAAGAATATCAACCAAAGCTCATAAGCAATGCAGCCATCTTGCAGGCTCCCCACATCCGTTGACTCCAGGGATTTCCTAAAGGCCAAGATTGGACACAAATCTGACCTAAGGGGACATAAACTTCCAGACAGTAGATGATATAGCACAGTGGTGGCGAACCTATGGCACGCGTGCCAGAGGCGGCATCGGAGCCCTCTCTGTGGGCACACGTGCCGTTGCCCCAACCTTGCCTCCCCCGATGACCCCCTCCTCACCAGCAGCCCCTCTGGAGGAGAGTCGCCCCCGAGCGTGGCCCACACGGAGCAGGACAGCCAAGGACATGGCAGCCAGGCAGCGTAGACAAGACTCTGCCCTCATGCCCCATCCCGCACAGTTGATGCTGCGGGGTGCGGGCAGAGGGTGTGGCCACCATGGCGCTGCTGGGCTGCCTGGCCAATCTGTGGTGGGCCCTGGAGGCGGTGAGTGGCCCTGCGGGCAGGTGGGGTGGGGGACGGGGTAGGGGCGGGGCAGGGGGTGGAACGGGCGAGGCCAGTTTTTGGGCACTCGGTCTCTAAAAGGTTCGCCATCACTGATATAGCAGAAAGGGCTCTCCTCCTCTTGGGTCCTATTATATAGAATTCCTTCATGCACAGGATCCACATTAATTCTTTTCTGCTGGATCTGATGGAATGGGTAACTGTAAATGTAATCAGGGGAAGGTGGTCCTTCAAACAAACAAACCTAGTGCCTTATAGGATTTGTAAGTCATTGCCAGTACCTTGAATTGAACCCAGAAGCAAACTGCAAACCAATGCAGCTCAGGGGAAAGAGGTATAATGTGCATCAATCTTGGATTCATGTCACTGCCCGTACTTTATTTTATTTACTTACCAAATTTAGAAACCACCCATTTCCCTCACAGAGAGATTCTGGCCAGTGTACATATAAAATATTGCCATATTTTGCACCAGCTGTAGCTTCCGAATGCTCTTTAAGGGCAAAGCCTATGTAGAGCATGTTACAGGAATCCACCCGGAAAATGGCCAAGGTGTGAGTGACAGAGACTATACATAAGAAGTTGTGTGTGGGGTTTTTTTTAATGAAAAAAAGTTCGATGTCTGCCCACTGTCTTTGTGATACTACTACTCTGAAATATGAGGACATTGACTTGTATCATTTGATTAGCATTTATTTTTATTATCTTATCCAGGGTGGGGAGCTGTGTATTTCTGGCTCTCGAGACCGAAATGTCAATTTGTGGGATCTAAGGCAGCTGGGCAAAGCACCAGAAAAAGTTCTAGTGAAAGTGCTGGGGACAGAGCGCAGTGGAACACACAAGGTAACTGGAGATTCTGAACCAGAACAATACATTAAACATAAATATTAAGCATTATTACAGAAATTCTGTATTGTCAACCCCTAAATTTCCCTCTGATAGCCCCATTCTATTTTTTAAACCAGAAAATAACGTGCAATGAGTTTCTCTGTGTGTGATGTGTATACAGATAATCCTTGAGTTACTATTGTAATTGGGCCCTCAATTATAGTCATAAGTAATGATAGTCATATAGCAGGTCACCACATGGCCAGAACCAATTTTATGACCTGTTTTGCAGCTGTTATAAAGTGAACACTGTGGTCATTATACAAACCCATTGTTTGCTATGGGGCAATTTTGCCAGAAACCAGAAGTAAATGCTGGTTTCCTGCAAAATTTTAATTCATAATCATGTGCCTGCAGTGTTGCAAATGACTGTAAATGTGGGCCGGTTGCTGAGCGCCCAAAATATGGTTGGTCATATTGGAGAGCAGACATCAGAATTTCAGAACCAGGTCATAACTAGGTTCTCGGGGGACCAATCATAATTTCAAACAGTCGTTAAGTGACTCGTTGTAAGTCAAAGACTACCTGTATGTGTATGACATATCTCGTGATTTGGGAATTTTCTAATTAATAGCAGTACATCCCTATCTCTCTCTTTTGAACATTAAACCTTTCTCTTTTACAAACTTGCCGGGTAGCTTCTTTGTCTTTTACTGTTAAAAAAAAATTAAAATGGCCCATGCCTTTTTATGGCTAGTTACAAAGAAAGGTGTAGGTAAATACATGAGGGATATGCTATGCTGGCAGCAATATGGCCTATTGCTTCCAAGGTGGCATTTAGAAGACCTTTCAGTCCTCTCTAACCTCTGAGCAAGAAATGACCATTCCCAATGAAAAGGAAGGGAAAGCTTCATAATTTTACTATTGTGATGCCTCAGAAAGTCTACGCACCCCTGTTAAAATGCCAGGTTTTTTGAGATGTAAAAAAAATGAGATCAAGATAAATCACTTCAGAATCCTTTCCACCTTTTACATATAAGCTGTAGAATTCAATTGGGGAAAAAATTTGAAATCTTTTAGGGGGAAAATAACAGTAAAAAAAAATTATAATAACGTAGCTGCATAAAGATGCACAACCTTAAACTGATACCTTGTTGAAGCACCTTCTGACAGCATTCAGTCTTTTGGGATAGTTGCTCATCAGCATGGCACATCTTGCCTTGAGAATCTTTGCCCACTCTTCCTTGCAAAAGGGCTCCCGTTCTGTCAGATTGCAAGGGCATCTCCTGTGCCCAGCTCTCTTCAGGTCACCCCACATATTTGCAGCTGGATTCAGGTCTGGGCTCTGGCTGGGCCATTCCAAAACTTTGAACTTCTTCTGGTGAAGCCGGTATTTTGTTGATTTGGAGGTATGCTTTGAATCTTTGTTGTGTTAAAAGGGGAAACTCCTTCATCTTCAGCATTTTAGCAAAGGCCTGAAGGTTTTGTGTCAAAATTGACTGATATTTGGAACATTTCCTAATTCCCTCCACCTTGAGTAAAGCCCAAGTTCCAGTTGAGTGAAAGCAGCCCCAAAGTGTAATGCTATCACAACCCTGCTTCACTGCGAGTGTGATGTAACTTTGGGTGATGCACAGTGTTGGTTTTGCGCCAAACATACTTCTAGAAATCATGACCAAAATGTTTATCCTTGGCCTCATCACATCATAATACATTTTCCCATATGCTTTTGTGAGTGTTGATGTAGGTTTTTGCAAAACGTAGCCAGGCTTGGATGTTTTTCTTTGTAAAAAAAAGACTTCCATCTTGCCACCTACCTCATAGCCCAGACATAAGAAGAATATAGGAGATTGTTGTCACGTGTAGTATAAAACCAGAACTTGTCATACATTCCTGCAGCTCCTTTAATGTTGCTATAGACATCTTGTCAGCTTCTTGGATCTGTTTTCTTCTTGTTTTTTCATCAGTTTTGGAGGGACAACCAGTTCTTGGTAATGGTCACTATTGTACCATATTTTCTCCACTTGTTAATGACTATCTTCACTGTGCTCCACAGTATATCCAATGGGAAATTTTTTGTGTCCTTCTCCTGTCCTTCTCCTGACTGATAGCTTCCTACAGATACCTTTGATGCTTTGTAAACTCTTTGTGAACCATGGTTTTTGCTGTAAGAGGCAATGGAGTAAATATCAGAAAAATCCTATTAGAACAGCTGAACTTTATATAGGCCTGATCAGGGTCATTTTAATTAATGGCAGATGTGTATTGAATACTATTGAATATAAGTTGGAATGTGATTGGTTAATTTTGAACACAACTACATCTGTACTTACAAGAGGGTGTGAACACTTCCAAAACCATATTATTCTAGTCTTTTTTTAAAAAAAAAATTCCCCTAAAAGATTTCAGTTTGTTTTTCAATTTAATTGTACAGCTTATATATTATATTAAAGGTGAAAAGAATACTGAAGCAATTTGTCTTGGTTTGAATTTTCTTTTTTTTACATTTGAAAAACCTAACATTTTAACAGGGGTGGGTAGACTTTCTGTATCCACTGTAGATCAAAAAATTGTGGTACAAAATTGAAGCCGGGTTTCTGTTCTAAAATGATGTATATTTAATAAGCTGCTGGAACTTATTTTATGTATAACAGGAGATTTGTTGTCTTCAGAGAATGAAAGTTCACAGTTTTTCTCAGTTATAAGTTTTGCTGTGTGTAGCAATATGAGGAAAAATCAGAAAGAGATAGAAAAGAGATATTTCTGTAGTTCACCTGCAAGTTATTTGATGTAATTATTGTTATTGCAATGTGGAATCATTGGAAAGATTAGCTGAAGTTTATATGTGTGTGTGTGTGTAACATTTGTTAAGTGAGTTTTGCCCCATTTTACGATCTACTTGCCATAGCTGTTAAGTGAATCACTGTAGTTGTTAAGTTAGTAACATGATTGTTAAATGAATCTGGCTTCCCCATTGACTTTGCTTGTCAGAAGGTTACAAAAGGTGATCACATGACCTCAGGACACTGCAATTGTCATAAATATGAGTCAGTTGTCAAGAGTCTGAATTTGGATCATGATACCATGGGGATGCTGCAACAGCCGTAAGTGTGAAAAATGGTCATAAGTCACTTTTTCAGTGCCGTTGTAACTTCGAACAGTCACTAAATAAACTACTGCATCCAGTTTTGGTAACCACGATGTAAAAAAGATGTTGAGACTCTAGAAAGAGTACAGAGAAGAGCAACAAAGATGATTAGGGGACTGGAGGCTAAAACATATACGGAATGGTTGCTGGAATTGTCTAGTTTAACGAAGAGAAGGATGAGGGGGGACATGATAGCAGTGTTCCAATATCTCAGGGGCTGCCACAAAGAAGAGGGAGTCAAGCTATTCTCCAAAGCGCCTGAAGGCAGGACAAGAAGCAACGGATGGAAACTAACCAAGGAGAGAAGCAACCTAGAACTAAGGAGAAACTTCCTGACAGTTAGAACAATTAACCAGTGGAACAACCTGCCTCCAGAAGCGGTGAATGCGCCAACACTGGAAGTTTTTAAGAAGAAACTGGACAGCCATTTGTCCGAAATGGTTTAGGGTTTCCTGCCTGAGCAGGAGGTTGGACTAGATGACCTCCAAGGTCCCTTCCAACTTTATCATTATTATTATTATTATAAGGACTACCTCTTTATATACCAGCACAGTGTTATTAAAAACTAAAGCATGGTGATGTATTTTGTCTCCATTCACCCACCCCCTTTCCCCCCCACCATCTAGGGGTGGGTTTGGTCCCTGGCTTCACGTTATAACCATGTATGTTCAGGCTCCTGGGACAGCACAGTGAAGTTATGGGATATGGCCGCTGATGGAAAACAGTTTGGAGAAATCAGGTACTGTTGCTGCTTATCTTCTTACATTATATATATTTAGAAGACTAAATGGCAAAAAGAAAACTAAATTCAAAGAAACAGAATTAATAATGACCGGAAAGTAGATATTGGCTTCAGTCCTTAATCGGGGCCCCAGACAGATTTAACATCCTACGTCCTAAAAATAACATCAAATCATGAGCAAATGCCTAAAATAGTACAATTATTCAGTCTTGAGTTATAGTGAATGTTAGAGAATTTCACCTAATTTTTTCTTGTATTATTTCCCAAGGATTTATTTAAAGAGACTAGATTAATGTCCAATTAATATTGTACCACCATACTGAATCTATATATATATATATAATGTAAATATTGTACAATAAGCCTTCTCAGCTTTCCTTTTCACCTTGTATATCTTATTTCTCTAATATGCATATGTACCAGCTTGCAGGTGCTTCTAGAAAGTTTAGAATTTTTTTGCTCCCTATCTTTGGCTTCATCCCCTTGTATTTGGCTGCGAGATATTTCAGGCAAAAAAAATCTTTAACTTGGATAGGTACAAGTCTACAAAGAAAATTCCAGCTCACTTAGTAGCTCACCCTATTGCAGGGAGAGAGTTTATTCTACATAAATACATTATAGCTATAAAAACCACATTGTATAAGAACAGTGCAACCTTGTCTAGTCTTATATTTCTAGAATTTCCACACTGACATGCTGATTTTGGATTTAGAGAGCTGGAGGTTGCAACTCTAATGAAAACTAACATAGTGGACCATTGGATCCAGATTTATCACATCTTAGTGTATTGGATGTTTCATATAATAAACTAATTTCTGTGATGGCTTACTTCATTATGCAGATGGTGCAGATTGCCTCATCTGCATTAATTTATATTTGACTGGACGTATTGTGCAAATGCTAAAATCACCAAGATGGTATTCTTATCTATTAAACAAAGTTTCATATTTAATGTTATTCATATATATTTATATCGGTATTTATGAACTGCATACTCCCTTTGCTCAATTAGTCCATTAAAATTAAGATTCTCTGCAATTCAGCATGTAAATAAGTCCTCTATGGGGCCTTCTGATTTGCAGTCACAGGGAATGAAATTAGGCAGGCAGAGTTGTTAGCTGATCCTGCAGCAGGTGTCAGCGTGGTTTTTTTCTCTTGCTTTTCCACCTGTCAGTTGTAGTAGATCATAAGTGTCAAACTCGCCACGTCATGTGACGTGTCGCAACATATCGTGACTTTTTTCGCATTGCCAGAGCTGGGGTGGGCATGGCCTCCGAATGATGCAACCGGCCCACGGGCCGGCAGTTTGACACCCTTGTAGTAGATGATGACAGCCATTGCAAGCAGCAAAATGGGGACTAGCTAATTTATGTTGTAAAAAGTGTCAGTGTAGAAATAATGGAAAACCCAAGGCTGAGCAAAGATTTACTGACTTGAATGTGTGGCCATGAAATATGCTTCTTGACCCATCGCCTGATGCTTTCCTTTTGGATTCTAGTGAGAAAGCAGCTGTATTGTGCCTTTCTTATTTGCCTGACATTTTGGCCATAGGAACTTACGGCAAGAAAGTGTCAGTCTATGATCCACGAGGTTAGTACCCGTTAGTACCAGTTGCTTACTTTCAAACAATCATTGTCACCGTAGTTAAGGCATACGGGTCGCACGATTGCATTTCAGCTACTTGGTAACTGGCTGGCATTTGTGACTGATTGCAGCATCCTCTGGTCATGTGATTAAGTTTTGGGTTTTTTTGCCATTTTTCAGCAAATATGCCCATTGGATAAGCTGGAATCAGACTTACAACCATGTGTTTCACTTAATGACTCTGTGGTTTGCTTGATGATTGCAGTGACTTGCTCAACAACCATTGCAAAAACAATCATAAAATTGTGTCTGGTGACATAGTGACTCGACTTACGACCTCAATAACTTATACTCAAACTTCTGAACTCTACTGCAGTCATAAGTCATAGATTACCTATATGTCATGGTCTTCTTTTCTTTATGGGCCAAGAGCAATCAGAAAAGAAAAGATTATTTCATCTATCTAGACATTAGATGTTTTCTGTGCCAGATCTAGGCATATTGTGGATGCTCCCACGTAGAAGACTTGCCCATTCACAAAATGTCCATGAACCAATCACAAAACACTCAATTATCAGAAAGCAAACTATTGAGGTTATTCCCGTCATTCTCTCTAGCCACCGAAGATGCTTTCTACTTCTTTAGCTTACACTTACCTTCTTCTAGAAAAGACGGTCCATTTCTGGATGTGGTTGCAGTCATCTACCATTTTTATTTTCCCTGTGGCCAATGCAAAGCCTGGAAGTACAATATTGTTGAAAATAACTGTGTTTTGCACCATTACTTTCCCATTTATTCATGTTTAAATTAATATAATTTTGTTAAAAAAATTAAATTAGGCAGGAATTAACTGGTATCAAGAGGCATATTGGTAGCTTTGAGTACGTTGCTTCCCACAGCTACAATTAATTTCTGAAGACTGCCATCTCAAGCAGGAAGCTTTATGCAAGAAAATTCCCCATTATGATTATTTGGGTATAAATTGCTATGGTGGGTAATGCATGCTATTTTTCTGTGTGTAATAGACCCCCCCCCCAAACAAATTCATTAGGAGTGGTAAAACAGGGAGGAGCTGGCAAGAGAACTCCTAAAGGAAGCTCTGCCTTCTCTCCTGCTTGCAGTTATCCTGATAATGAAATGGCAAACCTCAATGTGGAGGAAGAATTGTATGTGATTGTAGTTGAGCAAGCCACCAATTTTATAAGATTTATCTTGTGCAGGTGACTGGGCTCTTGTGATGCATCTCTTGGCCCTCTCTCACAGCTGCTTATGCCCCAGTGATGAGCCGCAGGCTTCACTCCAATGCAGTCCTATCCCTTGTAGCTGATGAACACTTCATTATCTCTGGCAGTGAGGATCGAACGCTGGTATGTTTTGACAGGCGGACCAATAGTGTGCTTCAAAGGCTTCAGGTGAGCTACTCAGCTTCGGTCTCTTTTTCATGATAAAACTAGCCAACAATTATATAGGGGCGGGGGACCAAGAAAAATTTAAAACTATTCCATACAATTTTACTATTCTTCCCTAAATTGTAAATTGAACAGATCTGATAGAAGTTAGATAGCCATTAGAGCAGGGGTGTCAAACTGCTGGCCCACAAGCCGGATACTGTATGTCATGCCAAAACCGTGCCCACCCCATTGCCGGCAATGGGAAAAAAGTTGGGATACGTCGCGACACGTCACGTGATGTTGCGAATTTGACACCCATGCATTAGAGTATAGGAATATAATACAGGAAGTTAGATAAGAATAAGCTAGTGTAAAGGGATAGAACTAGATTATATTAGTAAGATAATAAATAATGCAAAGCTAATAGTACAACAAAGTAGAAGATGAAAATAAACAGGAGGTGGAGTGGACTTCCAGTAAGCACCATGGTAAAGTTAGAGATATCCTAGCTGAAGGGGGAATAGCATTTACGGTGATTGAATGTTGGCTGCAGACAAACAAATTCTCTCTGGAAAAAGAAAAAAATGTATGATTGCCATTCATACTCTGGACTGTCAGGTTTTATGCTTGGCTTGTGAGTCAAATGGCTAGGAGTTCAGTGATATCATCTAACTCACAGTTATAACACAGCCTGTTATGTACAAAACGCTCTACTGAGCCTTATTTCTTAATCATCTTTGGAATTATTTTTAACTGCTTGGAAATATTCAGACGGTTCAGAACAGCAAGTTTTTATGGTATTCACTGAGTGAGTCTCCTTTTCCTTGAGGAAAGAAGTTTTAAATGTGATTTTAAGGATGTGGAAAAATACTCATTTTTTTGAATAAGCAAAAAGGTGTTGATTTTAGAAAATTAAAAAACAATCAGAGATATTTGGAATAAAAATTCAAAACTAATTATAAAAATCCTTTTTGCTTGGGTTGATTGGGAAAAAAATGGTATAATGGGATTTTGAAGATTGGACACTAGAGGGAACTAAAAGAAAATAAGTATTACAGCTAAAGGAGACGTATACTTAAATTTGACCTGTTAACAAAAAAAATGGAGCAAAATACTTTAACTATATATTTTGAAGGACATTTTGAACAATAGACTCCGAAAATAATTTTAAGAATGTTTGATACCATAGATAATGTATTAATGATGTCACAGAAGAAGAACAAGCTGTACAGATAAGACTGAAACTGATTTGATTGTGGATTTAAATATGACAAGTTACAAGAACAAAATGGAACAAGATAATACAGTGGACATAAAAATGAATCTGGTTAATGTCTTAATATTTAAAGGGGACAAACAAGTATTGAATCAGAAGAGATATTTGGATAATATTTTCTTACTGGATGTACAAAAGAGATCTGTTAAAAGTCTTGAAGGAAGACTAGGACATTATTTGAAGGGAACCAAAAACTAAGATTGTTAAAGTATGGGAAAGGAATCTGGAGCTGGTTTAATTGATCAAGGTTAAAGTAGGTAGTTATTTCTTAATGGACTTTTGCTGATAAAAAATAAATTATGAGGCTGATGAAATATAAGGGTGAAAAATAAGAAATAGGACAGAATTATATGTAAGATATATTTTTCTAATAACAATAAGGAAGAAGAAAATAGTGGAATTTAATATTTACCTCAGACAAAATGTATATGAAACCTTATTTTTGTACATAGGTTTTATAATAAGCCTGCTGACCATGGGAATTATGATATTTCATGCTTATGTCTGGTATTATGTAGAACTGAACCTATGGCAATAATATTTATCTTTTCCCCCAGCTGGACACATACTTATTTTCCATGTCGTACCAGGGTTCTCAACTATGGGCTGGAGACAATCGTGGAATGTTGTATGTCTTTGAGAACAATGGAGGGCGTTTCAAGCACATTCGGGTATGGTACTGATGATAGATCATGGAGGGACAGAGAAATGTGATTCTTCTCTAATTTCTACACATAAAACAATTCTCTTTCATTTGATGTCTCACTGCTTTTTCTTTTGTCAGTATTTTGATGTCGGTCATCGCTCTCAGATCACTGGAGTCCAACACTCATTGGGTGCACTGTATACAACTTCCACTGACAAGACGTTCCGTGTAAGAGTTGTGGTGGTATCTAAGTACTTTACTAGGAATGAAGTGTTAATTTAGCAATAGCACTTAGATTTATATACTGCTTCATAGTAATTTACAGAAGTCTCTGAGCAGTTTACAATGTCAGCCTATTGCCCCCAACAATCTGGGTCCTCATTTTACTGACCTCAGAAGGATGAAAGACTGAGTCAACCTTGAGCCACTCAGAATCGAACTGCTGCACAAGAATTTGCATGAATTATATTTTAAAATATGTATTTTCTTACAAAATATGCATTTCCAAACATTTAGTTCTTAACATGCTTTATGTATTTGGGCGGGTGTTCTCTTTGGATTAAAAAATCAAATCAAATCTAAAGAATAACTGAATTATTTTTGGCCTGGAAAAATAGTTCTGGTAGAGTTGTGACTGAGGAGCAAAACAAAACAGAACAAAAAAATTATCACATTACTGTAGATTTGATCAGTGGAAGCAAAATTAATTCTGTCCACTATCATTTTAAAATATTTGATTGAAAACTAAAGCACATAAAGTTGCCACATAAAGTTTTAGCTATAAACTAAAACTTTGGATTATTTCAACAGCTTTAGAGTACTATTAAGCTTCAGATAAAGATGATGAAATATGATATAAGACCATTTCATATTTTTTTAACATATTGCTTCCATATCATTATGTTACAGATAAGCTCCTTCACTGCATTCTATCTGGCTTTATTAGATTCATAGACCATTGTTTTGGAGAGTTGCCTATACTAAATAATTGCATTGGCACAAATGTTTTGGGACTCTAGACTTTACATATAGCAAAGTAAAATAAAGGGTTTTTTTTCAATTTGTTATATTCTCATATACTTTTTAGACTTAAACCTCTTGGATTTTTCTTTCAGATACATATTCCTACAGATCCACCAAAGGTCATCTGCTCACAGACCCATAGCTCTGTGCTAAATGGGGTAAGGACAACAGGATGGAGATGCTGGTGTACATTATTTAGGAAAGGGGTGCTGCAGCTATAAAAGAGAGGGATCTATTCACTATTGTCATCACTGTTTGGAGTCAAATGGAATTTTATTGTGGGCTTAATGCAGCCAGCTCTACTTATCATCAATTTCTTGTTTTGGGTTTTGTTTTTTTTTTGCAGATCACTGTTGAAGGAAATATGGCAGTAGCTGCCTCAGGTGGTTTGTCCTTGGAGGTTTGGAAACTCAGTGTTTGATGACAAGTCACGGTGATCCATGCTCAGAAGTTCAGGATCATCAAGTACAGTGTATTGGACAATTATTTCCTCATAGGTTCCAGGGTCCTGATGTCTGCTGAATTGTTGTTGTTGTTTTTAATATGTTCTTTGGGGTTGAATAGTCAAATGTTGAAGCCTCAGCTTTGCTTCTCCCAGTAGGGATAACACAGAGGTTTGTATGGAGGCCATCTGATTCACAGTTGAACCTTAACCTTAACCTAACCCTTTCTTGCTGGCCATTTCTCTCATTTCACCTTGTATGGCTGAAACAAGGTGAAAGGCGTGTACTCTTTCCATCATCTAGCTAGCCCCTTCGAGGTCTGCCCCACTCAACATATAGGAGCAGTGTCTTCTCTTTGGCTTGATGGCTAAGAACTCATTGGCTTACCAGGTAAATAAGCATAGGACTAAGCATGAAAGGGTAAATTATGGGCAGAGGAGAGAGTGATGGTTAGAGGGACTACCCAGCTAACTTGGCCTGATGAATGTTTACATTTAATTCAAAATATTCAGCCATAATGGCAGATCAAGAGTTATGTTGCCTTTTTCTCCCTTGTGGTAAGCAAAGTATGTCTTAAAGCATGTTTTTTTTTAAGGGATTTGGTTTAGAATTAAGAAATGGAACCCACTAAGTAAGATTATATAGCAAATTTTGACTGTACAACCATTTTTTCAATTTTGTCATTATTAAATTATAACAAAAACAAGTTTTGAACAAGATGAACTGTTTCTTCAATGACATATGGCAAGCTTCACATATTGTGCTCAGCCATATGGTTTGGTTGGTTTTGTTTTAATATTATGTATGAACCATATCACAGTATTTTATAAAGCATGGTTTGTAGTCCCGCATTATTGAATTTGCTTTGAGGCTTATTCAGTAAATCATGATTACTAAAGTAAACCATGGGTTAGCATAATGTGAAAATCCAGAATATAGATGGGCGCAACACAAAATGACAATTGTTGTATTTTCATTTATGTTATATTTATTTGTCAGTCCTTTGTCATTTTATAATCAAGAATCTAAGGACTGATTAAATTTGAGTGCATTTGGATATATGTACATAAACTTGCTTTTGAATTATCCAACAAAGGCAAATTGATAAGTTAAAATCCTTCCCTCTTATTCTTGTTATCTCTGAGAATTAGAAATGTTACTAACTCTGAGCTGGACAGTATCATTCTTTTCCTTCTATGTAATAGGGTTATTATAAATACTCTAGAATGAATAGCAGGAATAATTGGAGTAACAAATATAAAATACAAAACAATAATATATAATTCCATAATAAAACATTTTGACTTCTTATGAGCATCTTAGACACATCAGTTTCTACTTTTTTCATCAAAATTCAGTAATTTCAGTACTTAATTTCCAGTTTGTTGATTTTTTGAAGCAGGAGTTGATATTAGAATGTATAGTCAGAAAACAATTCAAAAGGCTTATTCCTTCAGTAATATATGATCTGTATTATTTATAAGGCTGAAGCTGGAGTTATTATTGAGTGAGCAGATTGAAAAGCACACTATATGGATCTCACCTTCCACAAGAACCACCTGGAATTGGTGTGGTAATAATAAATATCCCCCTCTCCTCATATACACAATATCAGTTTGGAGTCAGGCAACACAAAAAATGAACCAAATAATAAAAATAAGAAAGAGACCAGACTTCGCTCTAGAAAGCAACCCACAGACTCCTTTAATAGTTTATGACATTTAACCAATTATTGACTTCTGAGTGAGGAATGGTAAATTATCACATCTCCATGTGTAGACAATGACTGTAGCAAAGACTAAAAGACTGACAAGTAGGCCTGTCCCAAGAAACGTCTCTGGATAAGGAGAAGATGGAAAGTCACCCACTTTTGCTCCAAACTGTAGCTTCTTGTGAGGATACTGCGGGACAGTGGTTTCCTACCAGTTTGAGAACTGGGAGAGAAAGGGAATCATCATACTCTCAGTTGCAGTAAAGACTTTTAAAGGGCACTAAGTTCACTAATCTTACTTCTATTCACTTTTGGAAATCACCCATTTAATTATATTAAGAATATTCGAGATCTTCAAAACAAGTTTGAAAAGCCACTTGGTGAGTTTACCTTTGTTCTTGAACAAAAGAAAAATTAACTGTAAGCTTAAGAAATAGAAACAAATGGCAAAATCTAAATAAGAATTTAAGAAAGATGTAAATGCTAAAATCACGTCTGATTTACTTTGACCATACCACGCATGCAAATTCACTGGAGAAGTTGATGCTAGGAATGGTTAGTGCAGTGGTGGCGAACCTATGGCACGGGTGCCAGAGGCGGCACTCAGAGCCCTCTCTGTGGGCACGCGTGCTGTCGCCCCAGTCCTAGGCCTTCAGCTGGGTTTTATAAAACCTTTTTGCTTTAGGCCTCCGTCGCCGTGTGCAAAAAAAAAAAAAAAAGGTTCAATCAGTCAATTTCAACTTCTCGCGGAAAAAAAAAGATCTTGCAAAGTTGGAATTGATTGATTGAACTTTTTA